GAGGATAGGTTCAGCATGTGTGGTAAGATGCATGCTGCATGACAAAGATTTACCAAAGTCATTTAGGGCAAAAGTTACAAATACAGTTATTTTTCTCCAAAACAAACCTTCAACCACAACAGTAAAACACATAACACCATTTGAATCATGATTCGGTTATAAACCCACGATGAGCTTTCTAAAGTATTTGGGATCTTTTTTTACTTATGTTCCTCAAATGAAGTGCGAAAAACTGGATAGAAGATTAATACCTGGAATTTTTGTTGGTTACAGTATAGTTTCAAAAGCTTATAAGATTTTTCATCCTCAACTAAAAAGACAATCATAAGTCAATATGTATACTTTATGAAAAGTGAAAAGTGGAATTGATTTGAAGATAAGAACTCTCATCCAATCCCAACTGAGATGAAGATCCATTGTCCTATTTAAGAAAGGGAGAAATAGGGCATAGATGAATGGGAGGACAAAGCTGTAGATGATGTTCCAATCGGAGGCACTCATTTACTCTCTAATATTTATCAGAGATGTTGTGTGTTAACCAGCAAGTGTTGATGAAACAAAGTTGGATCAAAATTAGATGGTTGTAATAAAGGATGAGCTACACTTGATCGAGAAAAGTAAAATATGGCAACTTGTTGACAGACCTCAAGATAGAAAAATCATTGCGGTCAAATGAGTTTTCGAAACCAAGCTCAATGCTAATGGCTCCATCAACAAGTACAAGCAGAGGCTTGTGGTCAAAGGCTATACTCATATTTTTTTAGTGGACTACTTAAAGTCATTTGCACAGTGGCCAGACTAGACACCATCATATTGCTACTTAGTATTTTAACACAAAAAGATTGAAAAGTACACCAATTAGAAGTTAAATCAGCATTTTTAAATGATTTCTTGTAAGAAAAAATATATGTTGAGTAATCAGAAGGCTTTGTGAAGAAAGGAGACGAAGAAAAAGTTAATCTCCTTAAGAAGACTCTTTATGGTTTGAAACAAGCTCCAAGAGTTTGGTACAACAGAATGGATGATCGTTTATTAAGTTTAGGCTTTGTAAAAAACCTATTTGAATCTACTCTTTATGTCAAGTACTTTGAAATTGATATTCTTATTATCTCTCTTTTTGTAGATGATCTTTTAGTGACTGAAAATAATGCAACTTTAATTGATAAATTTAGGTTAGAATTGAAAGCTTCTGAGATGATTGATTTTGGATTGATGACTTATATTTTTAGAATAGAGATAAAAAAAAGTCAAGATAAAATGTTCATTTGTTAAAAGAAGTACAAAGGAAATTCTCAAGAAATTTTACATGAAAGATCGCAAGTCAATTAACATTTCTATGAATCAAAAAGAAAGATTAAGCAAGGAAGACAAAACTAAGAAAGTGGATGAAGCACACTTTAAAAGGCTGATTAGGTGTCTGATGTATTTTACAGTAGCAAGGCCTGCCATCTTGATTGCTATGAGTATTTTATCCTGGTTCATGCACTCTGTAAGTGAAATGCACTTGAAGGCTGCTAAGAGGGTGGTTAGATACATTAAAGGTACAATTAACGTTGACATCAAGTTCAAGAAAACCAAGGAGTTTAAGTTGTTTGGTTTTTCTGACAGTGATCAGACAGGATCCATCGATGATATAAAAATGTATTACTTCAGTTTTAGATCTAAGATCTTTTTCGTAGGGTTCGAAAAAAATAAGAAATAATAGCTCAATCTAATACAGAAACAGAATTTATTCCAGTAACTACTATGGTAAATCAAGCCTTATAGATGAGGAAGATATTGAGTGATCTTCATCTAGAGCAGAAAGAAGATACACAGATTTTGGTTGATAATTAAACTGCAACAGCTCTCTCTCACAATCTAGTTTTCCATATCAAAACTAAACATTTCAATATCAACTTATTTTTCTTAAGGGAAGTGCAAAAGAATGGCTTTGTCACTTTAGTTTATTACATAACTGATGATCAAGTAACATATGTATTTACCGAACCTTTGCTAGTTAGTAAATTATAAATAATTAGAAAGAAACTTAGAGTTTGCAACATCTAAACAAAGAGTGTTAGAAGTGATGTTTAGGTTGGCTGCCACATGGCTGAAACTATTTTTATCTAATTTAAATATTTTGAAGATTTTCTAGTTTTTAGGAGTTTATTATTTCTTAAATTGATCATGTGTATTCATAGCTTATTTTTAGGATAATAAATTTAATGGTTAGTTAATTTTCAAGTCTTTTTAATGTAAATTTTGAATTCATGAAGAACTAATTTCTCATTCCTTCACAGTTATCTTTATTTTTTGTTATAACTTCACAAATAACAACAATCAACTATGTACATGCAAATTCTAGAATTCTCGAAGGTTTTTCCGGTAGCAATTGGGCAGAATGTTATGATGATTTTAGAAGTACAAGTGGATATGTGTTTACTCTTGGCTCAAGGGTATTTTTATTGATATCTAAGAAGTAAAAGGTAGTAACATAATCAATAGTAGTAACAGAATACATAGTTGATCCTGTTGCTACTAAACAAGCTTTATAATTAAGGAAGCTCTTGGAAGATTTACTACAACCTCGAGCCAATCCAACAGTAATTAGGGTTGATAAATAATCTTATCAATCATGATTGAACCAAACATATTCACATGCTATTAGACAAACACAAAAAGAAGACAATGAGTTTGATTCACTGTTGTTCAAATCATCAACTTGCTGACTTATTAATTAAATCATTGGGGAAATTAAGGTTTGAGGAATTAAGAGCTAAATTTGGTATATCTAAGAAAACTCTTAAGAATGAATGTTAATATATTCATGTATGCTTGGATGGATACATGAATTTAAGGTGCATACAAAGTACATGAATGTATATTTTACCATATGCATGTATCTTTTTTCCTAGTAAATTCCTTTCATATTTGAACACAATATGATAAAGAAAAATTAAATTTCTATCTATATTAATATATTTATCGTAATACATTATAATTATCTACTACATGGGTTTCTTTTTACTAAGGTTTATTTTATTTTTATATTAATTATTTAACATATAGAATTTTACTATAGTTCACGTTGTTTAAGTATGATATAATTAAATATATATATATATATATATTACATTCTATAGTAATATATTTGTTAAGAAATTTGACCGCCGAATACCTGAAATTGAATTAATATTATCTTTCTGGCCATTAATACTTTAAAACCATCTTACGCTAGTAAATATGAATATTGACTGGCCATATTATATACATGATAAGGAACGGCCATAAAAGTCGTGATAAGCCATAGTTGATAACTCTTTTTATATTTTGATTCACTACTGATGATTAAACAAAATACAGAGCTCACTCAAGATGTTCTTTCTATGTGTGCAAGAACACCTTGGTTGCTCCTACAGCTGTGTTAGACTTAAGTTTATCCACTGTTTTGTCACACGATTTACATGCAAGTCTCATCAATTTTCATCTTTATCACCGACATTCTTTTTACAAAAATATTGTAATTTTCTTCCCGGTCTAACATGCTTATCCTCACGTATTTTGGGCTAAACCCAAAGTGTTTCCCACTTCTTGTCAGGATTTTCTTGCTCCTTAGAAAGCTCTCACAATCTGTTATCTCCCCTTCGCATTTTAACCATGCAAAAGCTGCATGAACAAACATGGTAACGGTTTATTCAAGGCCAATAAAAAAATTTTCAATCATTCAGATAATGACGTACCAGGTTGAGGCTCAAATTTATAGCCAAGAAACTTGCAAAATTCGGAGGGAAAGTCTGGCAAACTGAAATGCCCACTTTGCTTCACTGCTTCTCTCAATTGCTTCCACCTTGAAGACATTTCATTGTAGCTGTATGTGAAAAAAGACTTGCCGTTTCTGTCAGAATGTTCGCTGCAGCTGTCAGAAACAGTTTTCAATACCTTTGCTGCTCGAAGTTGTGAATCCTTGGATACACCTATGGTGTTGATCTCTATGAACTTGGTCATCTTTTTTGCAACTTCTCGATCTTTAATAAGGGCCCATCTGCAAAAGGAAAGAAAAAGGAAAAAAAAAAAAAAAAGAGTGAATATTGAAAGAAAACCACGAAGAGGAATGAAGTCCTTGTAATGGAACCCTGCTGAAACATTCTGTGTTGTAGCTCTGCAGCCAGAATTATAAAAGGTTTTGACTAATGATTTTTGTATAAATATGTAACATCTATGTCCCCTCGAATCAAATAGCAATTGTGTAAAAAGAAGAATGAGCTAAAATAAAACTATACAGGAAGAAAATTTATTACATTCAACATACCCAATTCGCATCCCAGCATGGCCGGTGCTCTTGGAAACAGTGAACAGCATTAGGTCGTGGTCTGCTGGGGAGACTATAGGAGTATATTGTGGCCAGTAGTACGCGAGATCGTGAATCAATATCCCCTCACTACGGTTTACCACAGAATTCCTAACAAAACCATCTGGGTTGTTGGGGGATGTCACAAGTTCTATATATGGACCTTCTATATTGAAACTACCCGCATCTCCCGCCCATTTATAGAGCCCAGACTTCAGGCAGTCAGTGATCAATGGATATGACTGCACATAATTAACAATATACACATTAAAATAGATAGGTTATACAAGAAATGGATAAGAGTATTGCTTCATGGAAATAGCATCAAATTGAGAGCTTTCTCATATGTGGTTTGAGCAAAATCATGTTAAAGAAAATTAGTACAACAATTAAAAGAATCAGTACTAACAAATCAAACACAGCAAAACTGCAAAACATACTAATGCAGTGGGTTTAACATCCCACTGGCATGAAACAACGAAAAATAGAGAAGAGGGAATAGGAGGAAGTTAAGTTCTTTCAAATATCATAAGAAGACTTCATATTTAGTCAACTTTAGTTTCAATTAATGCTGCTTAATCACCTGTTTCGTTATGATTTATAACGTATTTGTTTACTATAGAACGATATTTTTGTCTTATTAAGTAAAACCTTACCTTATGTTATCCTTGAGCTAAATGAGAGTGAGGTCAAAAATTTCTTTTTTTACTCAGAGAAGAAAACAAATATTATAAATAAAGCGCCAAGTAGGTGCCACACATATAAGATAGCCTTACCTAAAAAAAGCAAAATATCTATAATATTTCTTAGATCCTCTCTTCCGTTAAACAAAATAGTCTAGGTCTGAAACCAATGGTCTCTAATAGAAGCAAAAAGGCAACAAAATGCTTTGGAAAAACCATCTTGTTCCCTTCTCCCAGATCATCCATATAATCGCAGAAGGCGACAAAATCCTAAATAACGTTTGATTGTAATCCTACTTTACTCTATTTTACTTTAGCAATCATACTGTTACTTTTCTAATCAAATTCTCCAACAAAATGTCAGTCATAGGCTCAGCAATATGGAGACTATTTTTAAATGCTTCCAAATTCGTTATTATTAAAAAGAAACCAGTTATATCAGTTTTTACAATGCCAATAGATGTGGTGAAGGATATCGAAGATATTTTGAGATGGCTTCTTCGGAGCAATATGGAAGGAAGCAGGAGTTCATTATGTAGAAGAAGATAGTGTGTCTCATACTAGGCACAATAGTGATCTTAGTTTCGAGGGATTTCAATAGCTGGTTATTGCTAAATGGTGGTGGAGGATGGGAGGATGAGGTTTCGCCTTGGAGAAAATTGGAAAGTGGGATCTATGGCTATCTTTGCTAGGTCCTAAATTAGGCCAATATGTAATTTATGTATATGGGTGGGTTCAAAATGGGAACGGGTAGGAATGTGTTTGATTGGGAGAGGGATATTTAATTATTGTTTCTTAGACCTTAGATCGTAAAGGTGAATTTATTTGCTTGCCTTCAATTTTCTATTCATGAATTTGGGCTGCTAAGGCTTTATTGGATTCCAATATTCTAGTATAATATAGTTATTCCCATTACTGTTTCTAATATATACTACTAGCTAGTATTAATTAATTCTTTTTGCTGTCAAAAGCTTCTAGAGGAGATCAACAAAGTTAAATATATAACCAACACACTTGTAGGAAAGAACCTTTCAATAATAAAAGCAAATATGCACACAAATCCAGTGTATCCAGTCATTTATACAGGAATGGGAGCTAAGATTATCTTGTTCAATTATAAATAGTATAATGAATTCTGTGCAAGACTGAATTATTAACAATAAAACAAATCTGAAAAGACTGAACACTTAATACTGAACTTACACTATAGTATGGGACTGCAGAGACAACGCTTATTGGTTGAGGTGCATCGGGCGGAGAAAGAGCATAGAGTGCAGCCTGATAGAGCTGCGTTGAACCTGTCCCGACCACAATGTAGCGTGCATCAGTGATCGCATTGCCCACCACATTGTGCAATCTGACAATCTCTCTGCCAAATTCCGGCTCCAGAAACCAGCAAAGGTTACTGATATCAGAAAAATAGCTCAAGGATTGCCATCCAGGAATCACAATGGTGGTTTTCTCACCCATTTCTTGCCAATATTTCTCATACATTGTTGGATCCCCACTGCATTCACCAACATATAATATTAAATGTTACCATACAAAGTTACCATTCAATGTCTCTATTAACACTAAGTAATAATTTACTGTGAAATATTACTAAATTACTAGGAAAAATTAGAAAATTTCACCAAAACTATGAAACCTATTATAATTTGGAATAACTGGTAGCATATTTTGAAAAGACTCTTTTAAGTGGTAGGCCCTAGTTTTAATGAATGATGAGACATGGATGCAGAGCTAACATCAGATAAAGAAGATTAAGAGAAACCCCACTCTCTTTCAAAAAAGGTAAAATTAGTGTGCAAACCCAGTGCACCAGCTCTATTCTAGCCTTTTAGATCTTGTGAAGAGCCAAAAGGGTGGGTGCACATATCCATCTGGCCCCCCACAAACAAAAGTATACATACATTCATGAGCCACTTGCTATCAAATCTTGAATGGTTTTTTTTTTTTTCTAAGGTTTTAATTGTAGACATTACTGAAGAAGGATTTTGCTGGTTAAATATGCATAAAGTAATTAATAATTTTATTAATGAAGTAGTAGATGCACATAAATGGTCATACACTTTTTAAAGAAGACACACAAGAGCCATAATTCATAACTCTGAACTCACGCCTTGGTGACAATTTAAAGTAAACCATAATTGAATTTGTATAAATAAATTTTTTATTCTTATAAATAGATTGAGTACCAATTATGTGAATTTAGTCTTTTGGCAAAAGCAAGCACCACCGCCCCTCAACTTGGGAACAAACACAAGACAAACAAACAAACATAATTACTTCAACCACAATATAACAAAATCTCAACAAACACCCCCCACTTCACTCCTCTATCAAAACCCCAATAACACACTCACAATTTTTTTTTTTTTTAATATTTAAAATTATCAATTTTTAGGAAAAGAATATATAAAGTTTGAGATTAAAATTAGAGAGAAAAATTATATTATTATATATATATATAAAGCATAATTAAATAAATTGAGTAAATAAAAACAAAATTCTCAAGAATTATCTTCTGAAATCACAAAAGCAGTGAAGTAAACAATTGTAGATACCAAAATTTATTCTATAAAAAGTTGCAGAGACAAAAGGAAGGGGCTGCTGCGCACGTTAGGGAATCCCATCACTGCATCAGCAGCACTACTACCAAGCAGCGGCACCAGTACAACAGCAACCAAACCAAGCTTTGAAATAAGCAAACTATTTATTTGCCTTTTCCCAAAAAAAAAAAAAAACAAAATGAATCAGTAACTTTTATTTATTTATTTATTTATTTATTTTTACTCTTGAATAAAATATCACTGACGACCGTATTTCCCCCTCCAGTAATTCTGACACTTGCCTTCACGTGTTTCTAATTTATTTATTTTGTGTCCTAAAAATATTTGTATTTTTAAAATGAAAATGAAAATGTTAATTTAATAAAATGATGCTGATTCCTTGCTTATTTAAATATCATTTTTTAAAAAACGATTAATAAATTATTCTTTTTATGTACACTCAGAATGAAAAAAAAAAATTTAATTGTTCTGGTCAAATTTAATAATATTAATCTCAAATTATTGTACTTTTTTAAAAAATAAGGACAGACAATAAAAAAACAAAATATATATATATATTGTCATCCCCAACTTAAAAGTTGGTTCTTTAATTAATTAATAATAGTAAGATAGGATAGTAAAATGTTTTTGGAAATATTGCAACGTGTACGAATTTGACGTGGAAACATTTGAGATTTTTTTCAATATTCTTAAAGAGTGTATAAAAAAAAATCAACAGTGAACGTTATAGTAAATACATATTTATTTTTGTTATTAATATTATATTTATAAACCAGTCATAAATTTTGTTTAATCACTTTATTTTTTATTATTACCATATCAATATGATTTTTAATTAATTATTACGCTTCTCTTGTGCTAAAAAAAAAAAAAAAAAAAACTACAAAATTAAACATTAAATAATACGTATAATTTTATCTCACTTAATTACTGAGTGATGAATTTTAAAAATTCTTTTTTTAAGTATTTCGTAAAGTTAATTACAAAATATTAATTTTGAAATTAGAAAATAAAATCCTTTTGACCTGACAAGACTCCTCTTGAATTGATTTGACTTATTTATTCAGTCAAATAGTTTATAAAATAACGACTTTTTAATTTACTAAAAAACAAAGTACTACCCACATAATCATATTAACTTAATTTCATGATTAATAATTATTATTATCAGATAATTCTATTTGAATATATTTACAAAGTAGTTATATTTTCTCAAAATTCTTAAGATACTAAAATTTTTACTTATGTTTTTCCCCATAAATTTTATAAGTTAAAAATTAGTACATCATTTTATTTATGTAGATTAATTAAACTAAGAGAATGAAAAATAAATTTAAAATAATATATATTTTTTAGTTAAAATTTTAAATTATAATGTTTTCAGACTCTCAGTTCATAATAGAAGCTTTTTTTTTTCAAGAATTAAGTAACTAATCGTTTTTTAATGAATTCCTGCGTCTGTTCCAATCCAAAAATGACCCTAACAAGAATAAGAAGAGCTGCAATGACTCCGACGAGCAGTCGCCGGAAAAAGGTAATGAAGAAATGAGAAAGGTAACTTACTGGTCAAGGTTGACGACTCGGCCATTATCATCGTCATCTCCCACGCCGGTACTGTTATCTGAAGAAAACAGAGGCCGCCTTCTCTTTCTGTTTTCCCCGTCTAAATCTGTTCCAAATTCTTGTTTGTGCCATGACAGAACAGTAAGCCCCCTTTCTCCATCTTCATTCATGAATCTCAAAATCAAGCTCAAATTCAAAGCGACTGACATAAAAAACAAGTTCCTCAACGAGAAAACACTCAAAATTTTAGCCATCTCCCTCGCGACAGACCTTATTCTCAGGAACCAAAAGCTTTATAGCCAAACAGAAAAGCAAGCAAGGCTAGAAAGCAGAGAGTATTGAAACAAAACAGAGTGCCATGTCGTTGAAAAGAGACATACAATGAGGAGTTACTGGAAAACAAAATCTTATAATGAAGACTGCTTTTGCGGTTTGGCTTCTCGATTATCTCAGCAAAATATGAAAAAATCGCTAGCAGTCTCTGATCCAGATTCCAGACTCCAGACTCTTCTGGTTTTTGTGCGCGAAAATCGAAAGTTTCTTTTCCGGAAAACTAGTTCGAATTTTGACTTGGTGTTACATTAAAAAAAAAAAAAACAAAATACGAACATGGATTACCATAGCAGTTTTAGAAAAAGAAGAAAGAAAAAGAGCAGAGTAATCCAAATATCAATCCATTGGCCAGGAAAACAACAAAGAAGAAAAAGAAGTTGAGAGAAAGGAAGAGGAGGAAATGAGGGGAGAAGAATCCGGATTGGAAATCCAAACTCTTCCGACCAAAACTGTCAGGGATCTCGAAAAGAATAATGCAGGAGACGATATTATGAAGTGAAATATTTATATTTGAGTTACAGTTGATTTGACTAAAAGGAAGGAAAATGTCACAGTAAATTAAAAGTTTAAATGCTATTTTATTAACCATTGAAGATTAGTTTTTGAAAAATAGTGATTAAGTAAATTGGAATTAATTATCAAGTAGATTGATAATTTAAATAACTCATATTTTGACTATTATAACAGAGAGAGTTTATAATTTATAATTTATAATTTGTAGGGTAACAACAAATCTGGATCATCCTTATGATGTTTAGATTTTTCAATTTTTTTTTTTTTTTTGAAAATATAAAGATTATGATTAATGCTAAATATCGGATCTATGTTTCTGTTTTTAGTTGGTATCACATTTCTAACATAAATTCATATGCCCTTATTTTATTTTATTTCTTTTTTAATTAAAATTCTCATTAATGCTAAGTTGGATTAACACTAAATAAACTCAGACATATTATTTAAGGGGAAAAAAACAAAATATATTATTGCTTACTTTTTATCTTGGGGGTTTATATGTTTGTGTTTGTTTGTTTGTTTGTTTTGTTGGGATTAAATTTCAAACATAACTTTTTATATTTTATATATATATATATATATTTTCTTTATAAAAAAAAAAAAAAAGAAGAGAACGAAAGTGTCATTCGTATTAATTTTAAATTATTTTTTTAGTAAATTTTTTCAAAGTCATAAAATATAGAGACTAGATTATTTTTATTAATAAAATTTATTATTTATCTAATAGGTTAGATAAATCTTTGTTAGTATTCTAATACAATAATATGCTTACTTAATGAGAATTAGTTTGTTATTTTCTCACTAAACAAACTATAATAGTAGAGTAGTAATTATATGATCATTTTCTATCAAACTATATTGATAATCATAGTGTCCTTAATTATTTGATAAATGATAAATATTAATTTATTTTACAACCCTTAGACTCATTATTCATAAATGTATTTTTTATCATAAAAAAGTCCTTGAACTTTTTAATTTTTTTTTTTCAAAAATATTGACATCATTAACTTTAACTTTAAAAAAAAAAAAAAAAACTTAACTTACGTTTGGGAACAAATAAATAGCATTTGGTTTGTGGCTTATTAGTTTAGGAACACAAAAATTACGTTGGAATTAAGTAAAAAAAAAAAAAAAATTCAAAAAAAAATCATTCTTCTCATAAGACAAGCCTTCTCTCATTCTCTCTTAAGAATTCACAAAAATCTTTCTTTCATTATCTCAATCTTTA